TTCAGCTAAGGGTGAGAAGCTGCAAACCCGGGACCCGGTGATAAGCTGCATCCAGACGTTTCAGAGGGGTTTTCTTTCACTGTTGTTCCATTTACAGAAAAGGAAGTGGAGGCATGGAGAAAGTGGTAGCAAGATGACAGTGCAGGACATCTGTAGAAATCTATTTGAAGGCGGAGGGGTGCTGATTGATATTTGAATGAGAATGAATGTAGTGAAATTCCAGCCCCAGGGCTCTCTCTCAGGAAGGTCTGCCCTACAACCTTTGTGTTACTTCCCCTCCCTGCACCAGTGAGCTGCAGTCTCCACCGAGTTTCCTTCCTACCAGCATCAGCAGGTGCACCCTCTGGTCCCAGGGAACAACTGTGACCCCAGGCAGCCTGCAGAGACCATGTTTGGGAGGGGCTCCATGAGGCTGGAAGGAGATGGCTCAGCAAGGACCTTCTTCCCATGCCCAGGAAGGGGCTTGGGGAAAGCAAATTCCTGAACAGAGACCATGTTCAGGCGCCAGACAGAGTCCCCCCAGCCCAGACAGCCCTGAGCCAGCTCCAGGGACCTGCAAGCTTGGACAGAAACCACGCTGGAGTGAAACCAGACAGCCTCTCCCATTCCCCAGTGCCCCATAAACCATCCTGCAGGGCCCTGGGGAGAGCAAGGAAGCTGGATAGAACAGGAACTCTGTGTGAGATTTAATTAGGCTGAATAACACCTAGAGCAAATTCACATTGCCAGCGCTCTTTTTTAAAAGTCCAATTATTTGTTGATCATTCAAGGGCATGAAAAAAATAGGAAGATTGCTCTAGATTAGAGAGTTCAAAGTGAGGATCTTGTTTGGATCCCCATTCACACACAGTAACTGGAAAAATACATCATGATACAAATCCAGGAATCTGAATATAGATTGGTTATTAGATATGATGAAAGAACTATTGTTGGGGTGGACATCTGACACAATGGTTACAATGCTGTGTGGGATGCCCTCATGAGCACCTATGTTCAAATCCTAGCTCTGCTTCTCAGTCCAGCTTCCTGCTAATGAGCACCCTGGGAGGTGGAGGCTCTTCCGTCTGCTGGTTTACCCTCCAAATGGCTGCAATGGCCAAGGTTGGGCCAGGCTGAAGCCAGGAGCCTGGAACTCTATCAGGGTCTCCCACGTGGGTGCAGAGGCCCAAGCACTTGGGTCATCTTCTGCCGCTTTCCCAGGTGCATTAGGAGGGAGCTGGATTAGAAGCAGAGCAGCTGGGCCTCTAACTGGCACTTGGATACAAGATGCCAGCATTAGAAGCAGTGGCTTAACCCACAACAGCACCCGCCCCTAAAGTCTTACTTGCAATCAACTAGTGAACAAAGCCCAGGCTATTGAAATTGAAAGGGGTCAGTCTATCCTCACAACTTGCCAACTCCAAATCGTCACCTTCTGCCTCTTGGGGGGCCCGTCTTCTCCACGCACCTGCCACTAGAAAGCAGCTAATGTTATTCTCACCCAGAAGATCAGCTGGCATTGAGACAAGCCAGGAGCCAGCATGAGACCACCCAGATGGGCTGGAGGCACAGCACGACACGGCCAGGCCCTTGGCCAAAAAGGCCCCTCTGATGCCTGCCCACAAGACAACCCAGCCCCGCTCAGAGCTGCTCTGTGGTCGTGCGTACTTTCAAACAGCCCAGCCCAGGGAGGTGGCTCTGAGGAGAGAGCTGATTGGTGACCCTTACCAGGAAGGGGACTTTGCTGAAGATGGTTCAAGATTCAAGGCTCCCGGAATGCCTCTCACCTCAATGGCAGCTTCCCCGGTCCAGCAGGCATCGCATTCCCTAATGAGAAGACTCGCTGTGCCCTTCTGAAGGTGCATTAGAGGAAGAAAAACCCAGACTCCCCATGGAGGTCTCCCCAGGAGCTGCTTCATTCTCCTCCCAGAAGCTGGGTGAGTCTGAGAGCTCAAATCAAAGACCTGCTGCCCTGGGAGTCAGTCCACGGGCAGTCACATCTTCCTCTGCTCCTGGCACCGGAGGGGCAGCTCAGCAGGGGACCCTGCAGGTGCCCCATGTTCTCCCAGAGATGCCGGGCTGTAATGCAGCCCTGTATCAGGTACGTTATCCCCAGGAGTCTAATTCATCCACAGGCGACCAGGACAGACCCAGCCGCCCACTACGGCTTCCCTGCCAAGCCCCCTGGTTCGCCAAGTGAAGGATATGGCTGCGTTCGGTGAGTGCCCACTCTGTGCTAGGCAGTGGGCTAGGCCCCGGGCAAACATGAACAACAGTGTCATGGATGATGGGACTGGAAGGGACAGGCACGCCAGCCTGCCGGTGCCATCCGGAGCAGTAGGGGCCCAAGCGTGGAGTGCCAGTTCTGCCGGGGAGGGGTGTGTGTGTTGAAGTTGATTTGTTCTGAGAGGATTTGTTCTGAGAGGAGGAGCGTGGTGGGGACAAGAGGCACGGAGTCACCACACAGACCCTGGGAGTCAGGTGAAAGTGGGCCAGAGGCAAGCAGCCCACAGACTCGTTTATTTCAGTTGGTACAACAGCTTATATAGCCAAGACAGCCAATCTGGTCAAGGGGCGGTCTATGCCCTAACCGATCACAGCCTGTTGCCAGGCAGTTTCCAAAGCCATCCAATCACAGCCTGTTGCCAGTCAGGCTCTGTTGCCAGGCAGTTTCTGAAACCATCCAATCACAGCCTGTTGTCAGGCTCTGTTGTCATGTGGTTTCCGAAGCCATCCAATCACGGCCTGTTGCCAGGCAGTTTCTGTTGTCAGCGGCCATCTTGGCATGACCTTTTCATCTCAGTGGCCATCTTGGCATGACCTTTTCACCTCAGCGGCCACCTTGGCATGGCCTTTTCACCTTCTCATTCCACTACAGGTGTGGACTGCAGGAAGGAGCCCAATCTTCAGATGCGGTCGCATTTGGGTGCAAGGAAGAGGCTTCACCCCAAAGCCGCATCTCCAGCTGCACTGATGCGGGAGGCGGGGCCCAGGGCAACCTCCCAGGTGTTCTAGAGGAAACACCTCAGGATCTGTAAGAGGCTTCATGGGCTCTGTGAGGAGTTCTGAGGTTAACTATTCCCTGGGATGCCATTACTTCCTGCTGAGCTAGCAGACTTCAAAATCAAACTGCCTGTTGCAAGGTGAGGCAGATACAGAGGGTGCCAGCTTAAGATGGTGTGCCTTCGTGGTTTCTCAGCTGGGTGACGGTGTGAGGGCAACAGGCACACAGTAGAAACTCTGCTCCCACTCTGGTTTTTGTTTTTTTGTTTGTTTGTTTGACAGGCAGAGTGGACAGTGAGAGAGAGAGACAGAGAGAAAGGTCTTCCTTTGCCGTTGGTTCACCCTCCAATGGCCACTGCGGCCGGCGCGCTGTGGCCGGCGCACCACGCTGATCCAAAGCCAGGAGCCAGGTACTTCTCCTGGTCTCCCATGGGGTGCAGGGCCCAAGCACTTGGGCCATCCTCCACTGCACTCCCTGGCCACAACAGAGAGCTGGCCTGGAAGAGGGGCAACCGGGACAGAATCCGGCGCCCCGACCGGCACTAGAACCCAGTGTGCTGGTGCCGCAGGCGGAGGATTAGCCTATTGAGCCGCGGCACCGGCCTCCCACTCTGGGTTTTGATCTCCTGGGTGAGGCACATGCACCCTCCAGGGTGGTGGTGAGCAGTGGCCCCACCGCCCAGCCAGCCACACGACTCTGCTGGAGACGGCCCATGCCTTCCAGTGTGCTGTGTGGCCAGTGACTTCTGGATACAGATATTCAATATATTACAGGCAATATTTGCAACGCTTTCTGATAAAATCAGCTTTGTGTTCGATGAGTTTGCCTACCTGCAAGTTACTTGTGTGCCTACCTACAGTTACTTGTGTGCCGGGCGGGGCTGGGCTCAGCTCTGGCGTTCGCTAGGTTGGGTGTAGTAAAGATTTTATTTATTTATTTGACAGGCAGAGTTGCAGACAGAGTGAGAGAGAGAGACAGAGAGAAAGGTCTTCCTTCCATTGGTTTACTCCCCAAGTGGCTGCAACGGCCAGAGCTGTGCCAATCCAAAGCCAGAAGTTAGGTGCTTCCTCCCAGTCTCCCACACAGGTGCAGGGGCCCACGGACTTGGGTCATCTTCTGCTGCTTTCCCAGGCCACAGCAGAGAGCTGGACTGGAAAAGGAGCAACCGGGACTGGAACTGGCACCCATATGGGATGCCGGCGCTGCAGGTGGAGGATTAACCTAGTGTGCCACAGTGCCTGCCCCAGTAAGTATATTTTTGACTTGTGATGGGTTTACCAGGGCCAAAAGCAAGTGTGGAACGCACCCAGTGTGGGGAGATCTGGTTTGCAGCACGCTGTTTTTACGTGGGGTGGGACCTTGAAGCTGGTTGATGAGGATGAGAATTACCCCAGCTGAGCCCTGGGGAGCCACTGGGATGCTCCGTCCAGGTGGCCTGTGAGTGGCTGAGCTGACACCCACTGAGTGCCGCTGGTGGGAGCTCTGACCCCCGACACCTCACAGCCCCGACCAGATGACCAAGGACTCCTTTCCTCCGGGACCCACAGCTCCCTCTCTGTGCTGAGACTGGCGGGGCCCTCCCTGCGTCTCCCAGAAAGGTGAGACCCCACAGCATTCCCCTCCCCTCTTCAGTAGGGGACCCGCCCCCGCCACACACACACACACACACACACACACACACACACTGGGCCTGTGGGACGTGCAGGCAGAAGCAAAGCCCTGTGGTGTTTCGCCGTAGTCACAGCTCCTCTTTCTAGAGGGGTGTTCATCCAGCTCTGCTTCCGGAAGTGGACCACTCATCCTCCGGCAGACCACCGCAGGGCTGCCACACCCCTGCCCCGCACCCCTCCACGCAGGCCTGGGCCCCAGCCCCTCTCCTGAAGACAGCCAGCCCTCAGAAGCAGCTCTGTGCCTGGCGGCCTCTCCTCCAGCACATTAACCCACGTTCTTGATCTGTCCCAAGAACACCGTTCCTAAGGTGGGAAGAGCTTGGGCACTCCCCAGATTGAGTCACTAGAGAAAGCCAAGACTCTCCTGGACACAATTTTATTTTTTTTTTATTATTTTTTAAAGATTTACTCATTTATTTGAAAGGCAGAGCAACAGAGAGAGAGAGAGATAAGGAGAGGAATAGAGAAAGAGATTTCTATCCACTGGTTTACTCTCCAAATGGCCCCAACAGCCGGGGCTAGGCTGGGCTGAAACCAGGGCCAAGGAACTCCATCCTGGTCTCCCACATGGATGGCCAGGGCCCAGCTACTTGGGCCATCTTCCACTGGTTTCCCTTACCAAGCACATTAGCAGGAAACTGGCTTGGAAACAGAGCAGCCAGGACTTGAACCCACGCTCCAACATGGTATGCTGACATCTCAAGCTGGGGCTTAACCCGCCAAGCCACACCAAACCCTAGCACCCATAGCTCGAGGCTCAGTGCTACTTAGAGCCCTGGGGCTGCCAGCCTGCTGCCGTGGGGCAGGCCAGTATCTTGGGGACAACCACAAGCAGCAAAGACAAGGAACAACCAATGAATGCCACAGAATGGGAAAGGGGAGGGAAGAGGCATGCCAGAAGGCAGGGAGTGTGGTCGATGTCGGGAACCAGGCGTCAGACCAACACACAACACAGCCACTGCAAAGGAAGAGACGGGGGTCAGTTCACGGCCTCCCCTGGAGCTGGGGCGCTCACACTGTGCCCCAGTTTCCTCCCACCCCGTCTGAACCCCCTGAAAGGGCCTCACTCAACTAGGAAGCTCTTAGCTAAGTCATCAACCCCCAAACCAGAGCACTACACAAATACAACCTAGAAAAAGCTCCAGACCCAAAAGGGACTTCCAAAATTAGGTATATGTGTGTCCACAACCACACAGATGTACTCGTATATTCACATATGTACATACACACATGAGGGTACCGCCAAAAGTCTATGCAAATGAAATTAAGAGTTCATGTTGGTATCAAAAATGTGAAATCTATGCACACTAGGGAACTTCAAAAAGGTTGTGGAAAATGCATTTTATGAAAAAAAGTATGCATAGCATTGAAAATGTCTGGCACCAAATAAACTTACCTTTTAATTTTACTTTTCCGTGAACACTGGACATAGCCCTTGTGAGTGTCTATACATACATGGTGATGCGTGCACTGTGTGCTCACACACACCCCTGCTTAGTGACATAGGCACTATGTGTTCATATACACTCCTGCTTGTGTGTACACACTCCACTCCCAGTTGTCACAATTGTCCTGGGGTCTCCAGGAATCATTCACGCTCCCAAAGAGGACTTTCCTAGATCACAGGCGAGGGGTTGATGATATCCCCATTTCAGAGAGGGACAGAGGAGCTTGACGGGGCCAGCAATCCCCTGGTTCCTAGCCCTACTGCCTCAGAAGCAGATCAAGGGCCGACGTCTCCCCCTGGCCTGGACCACAGGACAGAGCTCCACCTCCTGCTGTCCCGTCTATTGCCAAGGCTGCAGCCCTCCACAGGGGAGGTGCCACAGCATTTGCTGCCTAAATGTGCACAAGTTGTACACAGTGAAAACACTCGTTTGCATCTTCATTTCTACATTGGTGCTATTTCATTTGTTATTGCTGACATACGTGTTTCCTTCTGCATGGCAACCTAACACATTTGTGGTCCCCGTCACAAGTCCATCCCAGTTAACCAGGGCTTGCACCTTTGAAATGCACTGGAGCTTTATCTTTAAGATAATCATAAAAAATTGAAAGTGCCTGAAAGTCTACAAATCACAGCCCTCCTCCCAGGACCTGCCATGGACCCTGCATGGGATCCACCGGAACTAAGACAGCTGAGGGCAGCACCACTCAGCACCTACGCCATCCAGAGCTTCCCAGTACCATCAGACCTCGAGCCGTTACCTCAGCCAGAGAGAGCTGCACGGTGCCACTCTGGTCCTTGTCCAGAAGCCTGAACAGTTCTGAAACGCCACAACAGGAATGCAGTTACATAGGGCAGACACTGGACTGCGGAACTGCCCTCGCCTCCCCCTCCCTGAGTAAGCCTACTGATGATAACACAGCAGGCTGCCAAGGCCCAAGGGGGCAGGGGAAGCCCCCATCTACTCACTGGACACTGACAACGTGCTCTCAACACGAGCTTCACCAAGGCACAAATGTTACCACTCAGCCACTTAAGGTCGCTCCTGGAACGCACTCACCTTAACCACAGGTGCACGATAATCTGAGTGACGGCTTTCTTAGTCTCTAAGGAAAAGCACACTGTGCCCTCGGGTCTGGCCAATTCCATTTCTGCCTTCCCTTGACCCAAGGGTTCCGAGCTCTGTCTGCAAGTTCTAGAGAACCCCTGGCCTCCCAAAGGCAGCGTCCGGTTCTGCCTCCTGACCCGGCCCCCGGCCACTCCCTGCACCTAAGGGGAAATGGGCTAGGGTTCAGGAAAGGCGGCTCACTGAAGAGGCTCTCCAGGCGGATCATACAGGCCACGAAGCCGTCAAAGTCGATGCCAAGCTTGCTGCAGGCGTAGCGCATGGCAATGGTCCGCTGCACCTGGTTGTTGAGGGTGAAACCTGAGGGCAGAGGGGACCTGGGTCACAGGAGCGGAAGACTCAGCCAGGACCCGGAGGGAAACCCACGGGGCTGACATTGCCGGGCTTCTCTGGGGTTCTGTGTAAGCCTGCCTCCTCCAGGGGCATCCCACAAGTGTGCTGTCATCAGCCTCCTCTTGGAGACCCTGCGTCAGGACCAGCCTCTTCCCTGGCCCAGCGCTACCTTGACCGTGGTCACATTAGCCATAGCAAGTGAAAGTGGAGAAGGTGAGAGTCTGACTGTCCTGGTGGTCCCCTGCCTGGCTCCTTCATAGTCCCACCCTCTGTGATGGCTGTCACCTTCCCGGTAACAGGCAGAGCTCTTGGGCAAATTCTCCATGTCATGTTCTATAGAATCCAGCAGCGTTCCCACCTTCTGGGATAAGGAAGGTGCTCGACAGAGCTTTGTTGAAGCACTGGTGTTCAACATAAGGCAACTAAGTGCCAACAACGGTCGTTCGTAGCCATGACAACGAGAGGAACCATCTGCCATGGGCACACCTGGGCCCCAAGACCCTGTCCACAGCGTGTGTCCTCACCTGCCTTCTTGAGGGCTGTCCTCATCTCATGGGCATCGATGGTCCCCAAGTGGTTACAACCCACGTCCAGATAGATCTCCTGGAACAGAAATTCCAGGCAGCAAACAGCCATTCATGGCCCCTGCCGCCACGCCCCTCCATGCTGCGGCTCCTCAGAGAGCCAGGGACACTTCCAAGAAGAGAAGTCATTGCCTCTTCCCAGGAAGGTTTCAGAACAAAGACAAGAGCTTGGGCTGACGGCCAGCTCTTGCTCTTTTGCTCTCTGAGTGGTGGGGCCTTCAGGGCAGAAGTTGGCACGAGGGTCTCTAGGTGCCTTCTTGTTGCTCCCTGAACAATGGACAAAAAGCCTGAACTAATCCAGGTCTTGCTGGTTTTCATATGGTTTAGGATCTGGTCAGGTGACAATCCAAACAAGATGTGGAATGAGTGTCAGGGGGAGTTAGAACCAAGGAGAGGGACCAGAACCCAGGGGATGCCCAAGTGGGAGAGAACTTACCAGATACTTCTGAATCTTCAGCCAGAGCATCTTCAATTCCTCTGGTCCCAAGGTCCCCGTCCCATTGCTCTAGGCATGTTAAAGGCCAACATGATGGAGTCTCAGTTCTACATTCATACGACTTTCTCTTGTGACTTTGCATGAGTGCCTTAAGGTCTTAGTCAACCTCCCAGGTCTGCAGCAAGCAGAGCAGTAGGGGTAACAGTGGGAAATAAGTCAAATAAAGACAGAACAAGTCCAGCGTCCACTAAGTCCCTCCTTTGAGGCCAAGCACAGAGCTAGGAACAAAGGGCAAGTCATGAGCCAGAAGACCCTTCACAATATCATTAATTAGCATCTAACACCCTCATCAGCCTGGGTTATCAAGAGCAGAGTTATGGGGTCAATGCTGTGGTGTATTGGGTAAAGCCACTGCCTGCAGTGCTGGCATCCCATATGGGTGCTGGTTCAAGTCCCAGCTGCTCCACTTCTGATCCAGGTCTCTGATATGGTCTGGGAAAGCAGTAGAAGATGGTCTAAGTGCTTGGGCCCCTGCACCCACGTGGGACACCCAGAAGAAGCTCCTGGCTCCTGGCTTCAGATTGGCATGGCTCTCGCTGTTGCAGCCAATTGGGGAGTGAACCAGTGGGTAGAAGACTCTGTCTCTCTGTCCCTTCTTCTCTCTCTGTGTAACTCTGATTTTCAAATAAATAAATCTAAAAAAAAAGAGGAGTTATATGACCTGTGTGAGAAGTAAACATTTGGTTCGTTTTCAAACCAAAATGTTTGTCTATGAGTAGACAACTAGCTAGCATAACAGCTTGCAGATGTGTGGAAAGTTACAAGTAGTAGCTAACGTAACAGTTAGGTCACATGCACCTGGAAAGTTCTTGGGCAAACAGGACATTAAGCGTGGCCAAAACAATTGAAGCAAATGCTGGGAAGATTGTTAACCCCGTAGTTACTCAGCCCATGAGGAACCAGGGGAGGGGCCTGTGTGCTAGGAAATAAACAGCTTGCTGTAATCGGCCCCGGGAGTGCTGGCCCACCAGGCACCCGGTCTTGCACGGCCGTTGATAAACTCTCGCTTTCCTTGCACTTCCTAAGTCTGAGTCCATCCTTAAGTGGACCTGGAGGTTGTTTCTCACACCTGTAAATTCACTGCCAGTTTAATTTATGCGGTTGATCATTCGGATGATAAGTTTGTCAGACTGTCCACACTCTATGAGAACAGTCATCAGGAATGGGATTAGAATTCTCAGCCGTGCAGTCTGCTTGTCGGCCACCACACAGCCAACACAAGTGTCAGGTCATGTGGAATGCCCTGCGTCCAACTTACATCCACTCCGTGAATACCTACCAAGCACCCTGCTAGACAACGGGGATTTGGTTTTGAACCATCTTTACCCTCAAGAAGTGAAGTCTCTTTGAAACCTTTCTCAGATGGTGCTTTTTCAACCCATGCTCTGTGTACAGGCACCGGACATCTTTGCATCTCATTTCATCCCCACAGTAGCCACTCAAGCTAACTTCCCAATTTCCAGGAGAAGAAGCTGAGCTTCAGAGCATGCGAGTTCCCCACACTTAGACACCTAACAAGTCATGGAGCCAGATTTTGGTCCCCTGTCCTCAATTCCAGATACAAGTGCCTGCAGAGACCAGAACGACTGAATCAGAATCTCCAGGCCAGAGAATCAGGCAACAGTATTTAAAAACTGCATGCATGGGTGGGGCTGGTACTGTGGCACAAAGGGTAAAGCTGCCACCTGCAGGGACAGCATCCCTTATGGCCGCCGGTTTGAGTCCCGGCTGCTCCATTTCCAATCCAGCTCCCTCCTAATTACCTGGGAAAAGCAGCAGAAGATGTCCCAAGTACTTGGGCCCCTGCACCCATATGGGACACTTGGAAGAAGCTCTGGGCTCCTGGCTATGGGTGGGCCCAGCTTCAGCCTTTGCCGTCATTTGAGGAGTGAACCAGCCTTTTAAATAAATAAATAAATCTTAAAAAAAAAAAAAAAGCTGCATGGGTGAGCAAGCATGGATAACAGATCCTGTAGTACTAGAAACATCACGCTGAGTGGAAGGAGCCAGTCACCAAGGACCGTATGGTGCAGGGTTCCATTTGTATGACATGTCCACAACAGGCAAATTTATCAAGAGAGAAAATAGATTAGTGGTTGGCTAGGGCTGGTGATTGAGGGGAAATGGGGGAATGAGTGCTAACATCAGTACAATGTGTCTTTGGGGGATGATAACAAGGTTCTAAATTATTTGGTGGCAGTTGCCCAACTCTGTGCATCAGTGGAAACCCACTGAACTGGGCACTGCGTGGGCCTGCTGTGTGATACGTGAATTTTATCTCAATAAAGCTGAGGGCTTACAGTCTGCACAGGCTGTTCTGCTGCACAGCATGATCGAGAGCCACTGCCCCACACCACCAACACTGCTCAGGGAAGACAGAGAGTCCCAGTCCTGCACCCGCCCCAGGCATCACTTTAAGGAGGTGCTGTTGGACCCCCCACCCTTTGCACCTTTACACCTAGAGTGTTCTCTGCACCTAGGGTGCCCTAACCTCCCCACTGGTGAGTGCTGGTGTCTCCTGCAAATTCACACGATGAAACCTAATCCCCATGTGAGTGCATTAGGATGTGGGGTACTCAAGAGGTCCCATGGGTGCAGCCTCCATGCATGAAATTAGTGCTCCTATAAAAGGGATCCTGGGTAAGTGCCCCACCCCTTCTGCCATGTGAGGCCACGTGAAACCATGACTGTCCACGCAGCAGGAAGCAGGCCCTCACAGACAACCATGTCTGCAGCGGCCTTGACTGTGGCCTTACCAGCCCCCACAAGAGTGAGAAATGAATTTCTATTGTGTAGAAAACATCCAGTTTACGGTATCTTGTTACAGCAGCCTGAACAGCCTAAGACATGATTCTTCACTATGCCGTGAGGGTTACATTAGACCAAAGAGAGCAAGTAGATTCTATCTGGGGTGATAAGTCTGAACTATCAGTAGTGGCTGTCCAAAGGCCATGTGAAGGCTCTGAAACAAAGACCAGACAGTGGTGGGGAGGGGGGCCGCTGAGCACAGTGGGAGGAGCGTGTGACCAAGAGAGGGTGGGGAGGCAGAAGGGCACAAATGCCACCCACCTGCTGGCTGCAGACCAGCAGATTCCCAACAAGTCAGGTACGCCCTGCACGCCTCAGATTCTCCCCCGTAAACCCAGGGCATCTCACGCTGCCTGGGGACTCTCAGTGACGCGACCCATTTTTCTTTAACGTTTCAAGCACAACTCCCGACATAGGCTCAATAAATAGTGCTCCCCTTTGCGTTTTTTCCCTTGTCTACCCTTTCCTTTCTTCTTCCCGGAAAAGCTTGAGAACAGCACAAAAATAACAATAATCTGACATTTAAAGGATACATCCAACAAGCTGATCATTTCCCGGCACGTGTTGATGTTGAATCCATCGAATTTTATGTCCGTTCCTAAATAAACACATAGAAAGGGGAGTGGGAGTCAGGATCACTTGGAGATGGGAAGCAACCCCCAATGCAGGAGACCCCAGAGACATCGGCTGGAGTGTGCAGCCTAAGGTGGTCTCCACAAAGAGGAGAGAGCATCACGGTGGGCTCCGGACGGGTCTCCCTGGGCCTCTCGTGCCTTGGGAGGTAGAACAGGTGACCCCAGCGTCAGCATCGGGGCTCAACGTTCCAACCTGGGCTTTGTTATTCGCAGGCACAGACTCTGACAAATTAATATCTCTGAGCTTCAGTCCCCTCCGTGTCTGATGGAACAGCAATAATAATAGTAGTGACGACACATTGCCTACGGTTTGATTGGGCAGTGAGATAGTTTAAAGTTTAAGCCCGGTGCTTGGTACATGGTAAGTTCTTAACAAAACACCTAATTGTTCTAAGCCCTATATACCTACTCTCCAAAGTGACCCCTTGTAGCAGACGCTCTCATTGTCCCCATTTTGTAGACAGGGGACTGAGGCCTAGAGAGCTAATACCATTTGCTCTAAATCACATAACTAGTGGGGACACAGCTGGGATTTAAACACAGGCCACCTGGCTCCACAGCACGTGTTACTAACCACACACATAGCTGCTTAACAGCTGTCACCCTCACTTGCTAAATCCAGCATCTCCTGGGAGCTCCAGCCATCCTTGGCCTCCAGCCTCGCTTCCCTCACATCTGGGAGTCAGGGTCAGGTGCCGGAGCCCCTGCAGCCCTCTCCTCCCCGCTCTTCTCAGCAAAGCTAGAAGCAAGAGAAGGGGCGGTCTGTCCCGAGACAAGGCCTGAGTGCTGAGCCCCAGGGAGCCGCTCAGCCCCATGTCTGTCTCCTGGAGGTGCCCCGCTGACCTTGTGGCTGAACTTCTGCCTGTCACATTCCCATGTCAGTCCTGCTGTGCTGGGGGAATGAGAGCCCATCACTCAAGCAGCTACAACTGGAGCCGGAAGAGAAGCCTGCTCTGTGCGGCTTCCATGGGCCTGGGGCAGCAGGCAAGGAGCGGCCCCAGCCTCCTGGTGCAGCTGACACTCTGCCAGCCCCCAGGCTTGAAGTCTAAGAACAGCCCCCTGGGAGAGGCAGCATCAGCCTTTGCACAACCCTCCCCCAAAGACCCTCTACAGAGCCAGGTCTTAACTCTGCAGTATCAGTGTCATTCATCTGGTGAAAACTTTATGTCACTTTGGTCAGTCGCAGCCCAGCTTCCTCCTCCCGGGGCTCAGCCCACAGTTTCCTCTGCAGCACACGGCTTCAGTCCTGCAAGGCCTCCCTGGTTGCCAGTCGCACTCTCACTTCTACCCAGCGCCCTGTGCTGCCCAGCCTCTGGCTCTTCCTGTCTTGCCAGATGTTTGGCACAGCAGTTAGGATACCACTCGGGATGCCTGCATCCCATATCAGAGCAACTGAGTTCAAGTCCCAGCTCCAGTTCCGACTCCAGCTTCCTGCTCATGTGCACCGTGGGAGGCAGCAGATGATGGTTCAAGTACTTGAAGCCCTGCCAATCCACGTGGGAGGCCTGAATGGAGTTCTAAGCTCCTGGCTTCTGCCTGGCCCAGTCCTGGCTATTGCAGGCATTAGGGGAGCAAACCAGCAGATGGAAGATCTCTCTAGTGTCTATTTGTCTATCTCTCTCTTTCAAATAAAAAAAAAAAGTTTTGAAAAGCATACCCCTGGTATCAGAGGCTGAAGCCCCTTCTCCTCACCTGAGCCCCTGGCCCAGCACCTGCCATCCCCACCCCCCTGTGCCCTGGCTGCCCCTTCAGGCCCCCCCTCCCCGAAGAGAAACTCACGTTTGGAAAATGCCCCATTCAGGACCGTCCTGAGCACGCTGGCAGTGACCTCAGAGCCCTGGAGAGAGGAACCCAAATAGGAATCACAGTGTACCCTGACCAAGCTGTCGGAAGGCGTCCCTGCAGGGCCGCTCAGCCAGCTCCCCAACCCCTCGTGCGGGTCACTTGCCAAGCAAGCAGGGAGAGGGGCCGATCCAGCCCCACGCAGCAGGAGACAGGAGAAAGAGAAGGTAGGCAAAGGCCTCGCCAGGTGTGAGTTTCACTTTCCTAGAATTCTTGCCGTTCTCAATTCAGCAGGACCCTTGGCAGCCAAGGAAGCAAGGCCTGGGCAGCAGAACCGCTGGCCTGCGCCTCCGTCCATTTGACTCCCACGTGCAGGGCAGTGCCAGGCGCTGCACCTGCAGGTGTTTTCTTCTAGCAAGGCACCCCTGGGGGCAGGGGCGTGGGTGGTCCCTTTCCCAGGCCCTCGGGGCAGCTTGCTGGCCAACGGAGGAGCAGCTCGTTCACTGAGTTCACTGGGATGCTTGAGACCCTCTGAGTCCCACCGTGCTCTGACTTCTGGTCCCCTCAGGACGGTACCAACCGAACCCAGGCCAGCAGCGTGGACGGGAGGGGCAGGGGACAGCTTCTTTCTCTTGCTCCCTGTGTCCCTGAGTCATGCTCAGGCTCACAGAGGGGGGCTGCTGGCTTCTCAGAAGGCAGGGAGCTGGGCTACACCTCCGCCCTGAGCCAGGCCACCTTTCTCCTGGGCTGGGGACTGGGGACCTACCTCTGAAGGGCGTGGCTTTAGGGAAGTTTTGCCGCTGACGCCCCACCCTGACAAGGACAATTTACAAACAGAAAGGCTTTGGGCAGGACCTGGAGCTGAGGCTTTTCTGGCTTTGGAAACATCATCCAGGTGACTGGCCTCAGGCCCGTGCTCACCCTCCCCCTGCAGTGCCCTGGGTCTTTGCATAGGCTGAAGGGACAGACGCAGAAGCTGGAGAAGCGACGGGGTCCTGAGCCCCTTCTTGCCCCTAGGGACCCAGGAAATAAAGGGGACGCGACCAAAGCATTCCTGAGCCTGCTCCTGCCCTCACCTTCCCAGCAAGCTCCTCCAACAGGCTCTGGAACCTGCCGTCTTCCTCATCCAGCTCAGCAGGATGCGGCTAAAAGGAGAGACAGTTGCAAAGTTAAGACGGAGGAGAGAGAAAGACAAATTCACTCATTCATCCACTCACATCTACTGTGCATCTGTCCCGTGTGAGACTTGTGTCCTTTGGGGACATTCGGCGGTGAACAAGAGGACATTGCAGGTCCTGGCCCTGGGCTCACAGTCCACCAGGGTGCAGTGCTGGGGCCCAGGGCTTCTCCCCGAGGGATGTAGGGAACCAAATTCCAGCACCCCTGAATTTCTAATTTCTAGCCCGAATTGCTTTCAGAAAACAAAACCACTGACACGGGGAACCCCAGGTTGGGTCTTTGGCATCCTAAGGGATTCAGTGACGACCTCTGACCTTCATGGGGCGGGGTCCAGGAGGTGCGCAAAACTTTGGGGTCAGGTTTCTATGCATTTGCTGAGCTTTCATTAGATTCTCAAAGAGCAACACGATCGCAAGGTCCCCAGAAACAGCAGGACTGGAGGTCGGGAGAGCAGGGTTCCCACAGCACAATGGCCACTTACTGAACACCGAGAGCTCCGAGTATCCATTGCCTCAATTCTCCTATTAAATTAAGTAGGCCTGGCTCATGGGGTGAATCGAATGGGAGCTAATAGGTGTCAAAGTCCTTTGGGAATGACAAGCCGCCCCATGAATGTCTGTCCGGACATTCTGTCTGTCTGTCATAAACCCCAAGACTACGGGAAGTGGAGATGGGAAGCCCAGTGAGACAACTGAGGGTGAACTCTGATGTGACAGTGAGCTCTGTCCAAAATAGAATGTCCCCTCCCCAACCCGCTGTCACCGCCAGACAGAACGGGAACATCACAGCTTCCCAGACAGCCTGAAGGGGTTCCAGAGAGCCAGGCCCATTGCTTCCAAATTCATCACAAGACAAGGACAAAAGGCCTGAGGCGGCCTGATGATCCTGCACCAATGCGTGCCTCTGCGGCGGGCTCGCTTCCTGCCAGCCCCTTGCACAGGCTCTTTCATTTACACCCGTGGACCCGGGAGGCTGCTCTCGGCACCGGCCACACTTCAAAGACAGAGGCGCATCCAAGTTCCAAAGGTGTGTTTGTTCAGCCTGTATTTCTCCCTCCCCTATCCAAGTGGGCTGTCGGGCCTCTGAACAACTGCCCACGAGCTGGGGTTTTCAGAGGGAGGAAAACAGCTACTGAACGTGGTGGCTGTCTTGGAAAGTTCTGAGTCCACTGAAGACAGCGACCCCGTGGGCTGTGTCTCTCTGTGGTGTGAGTGTGCATGGCGTGTATGGTGTGTGATGTGTGTGTGTGCATGGCATGTATGGTATGTGATGTGTGTATGTATAGTGTTTGGTGTGTGATGTGTGCATGTGTATGGCGTATATAGTATATGATGTGTGTGTGTACATGGTATGTATGGTGTGTGGTGTGTGTGTGTATGTATGTGTGGTATGTATGGTGTATGATGTGTGCATGTGTGTGCATGTGTGTGTGTTGGAGAGAGGGGTTCCCTGAAAAGAAGAGGCAGTTTCCCAGAGACCCAGAAGATACTGAAAGCCCCAGCACCTTAGGATACTGGGAGACCTTGGGTGGCTCCATAGCCACATTCCGGAAGCTGGGCCCTGGGTCTGGGAGCTTAGAGTTCACCAAAGATTCCAAGCCTCTGGCTGAGGACAGAAGCCAAAAAGGAATCTGTGAACTGATCACGGGTGACCGGTGTCGACACACCAGCACAGGAGGCTCCCTGCTGCTCCGGGGTCTCAGATAAACCCCAAGACTACGGGAAGTGGAGATGGGAAGCCCAGTGAGACGACTGAGGGTGAACGCCTGCCAACCTGGGTCAGCGGGGACACAGAGTCGGTTTTACATTGATTCAGCAGAAAAGAAACAAAAAGGGGGGAGGATGAGTCTCACACCTGAGTGGTGGACTCTGCCCACACTCTGCCCTGGAAGCTGTGGCTTCTCCAACATCCCTGGGACCCTTAGCAAGAGATGCCACCAAGACAGCTAAGTCCTCCTGGGGGCAGTGGGGCAGTGGGGAGGCTGGGCTGGCATCGCAGCTGGGGTGGAGGGCAGCAGGAAGGATTCTGACCGGCTCAGCTCACCTACAGCCACAAGCACAGACAGGCTCTGGCAGCAGGAATGCAGCTACTGACCACTGGCCCCGAGTCCCAGGGGAGCAGTCACATCCGCCTGGGCTTGCACTTTCAAGCTAAGAAACATGACACGGGGCTGGTGCTGTGGCATAGCAGGTAAAACCACTGCCTGTAATGCCAGCATCCCATATCGGCACTGGTTCACATCCCAGCTGCTCCTCTTCCAACCCAGCTCCTTGCTAATGGCCTAACATTAAGACCCTGCTTGGTAACACCTGCATCCCAGATGGAGTGCTGGGTTCAAGTCCCGGCTCTGGTCCCAGTTACAGCTTCCTGCTGATGTGCACCCTAGAAAGCAGCAAGTGAAAGGTAAAGAACCCGGGTCCCTGGCGCTCTCTAGGGGGACCTGGACTAAGTCTCAGGTTCCTGGCATTGACTAGGCCCAGGCCTGGCTGTTGCGGCCATTTGGAGAGACAAGTCTCTCTGTCTCTGTGTCTGTTCTTCTCTCTCCTCCTCCCCTCACCCCATTTGCAAATAAAATAAATGTTTAAAAGAAATATGACCTCACAACTTTGATATGTCCAGTAATAGGATCTGTCTCAGACCTCTCAACCAAGGACAGCCCAGCCACAGGGGGTGCTCACATGGCATCTGCAGCCAGAGGCACCTCAAGCTGTCTGGGTACATGGAATGGAGGCAGAAGCTGGGCCCAGGAGCCCCAGCCCTGGGCCAGCACCTGCCACAGTAAGCAGTGCAGCCACAGGGAGCAACAGCCCTCAGCATGCTCCTACCACACACATCATCTCTGGGGAAGGACAGAAGTGAGGGCACAGGTGAGGGGGAAAGGAGTGAGGAGAGGGGGAACCCACGCCAAACCCTGCACCCTTCTTCCTCCACGGTCTGCTCTGGTGTCACCTCCTCGCCTTCTCTACGTGCTCCCTCCAGCAGGTGCAGAGCCATCCGACAGGTGCTTTGCTCCAACTTTCCCATAAGCTTCCCTCACTTCTCCTCCCAAAGACTGGAGGGCAACCAGAGAGCAGAGGAGCAGAGGCATTGCTCCTGTGGACGTCTCGGTCTTGCCCAGAATGGCCAGGCACACAGTGACCGCTCTGTCTGTGGATCTGGCTGCCTGGATGTGAGCGATGCTACACCTCCCCCAACCCCACTCCCAGGCACTGGGAATGAACCACAAAGCTGTATCTCATCTTTGTCAGGAGGAGCCAGGGCCCAGAAAATGTCACAGTCTTGATGCACAAAGTTACCATCCTTCATATATAAAGAACCCCAGTGAACCAATAAGAACCCCCAAATGACTGCGATGCAATGTCAGAACTCAGCACACTAAAAGACGGCATACCTCATGTGGGCTTCCAGCCACAACATCCCCGATTTCCCTGAAATACAAAGGAAGAAGCCAAACATGAGATAAAGCACAGCTAATGGCCAGGGTCTTTCAGGAAGATTTTCTCTCTTCCCACCCGGGACCTTCGGTTTCTACTAAAAACTATGTATCCTGATTCTTTAAACAGGATCCTTCGCCCCCACCACCACCACCAACCTCTACCCTGAGCTTCCAAGTCCAGGTGGCTCATCATGGAATATTCTAGAATATTCTACTCTACTGGGATGCTCTTCTAGGGTAATTCTCTCCCACACCTTGCCCCAGTTACCTCTTTTCTCCTCTGCAAACCTATTTCAACATTGCTGTTGAAGTGGCCTCCAGGGAATGAGGTTGCAAGCTACAGCCTGTGCACACACGTGTATATGCAGCATGTGCTGTGTGTGCTGTGTGGTATGTATGCAGCATTGTGTATGTGTGTGTGGTATGGTATGGGGGTGGTGGTGTGTGATATACCTGTGTGTGTGTGGTGCATGGTACACATGTTGAGGCGGTAGGTGTGTGGGGTATAGTATATGTGTGTTTGGTGTATACGTGTGAAATGTGTTGTATGTGTGTGATGTGTGGTATATGTGTGTGAGGTATGGTGGGGGGGGTGGTATATGGTATACCTGTGTGTGTATGGTGTATATATGTGGATGGTGCATGGTGTACATGTGTGGTGTGTAGTATATATGTGTGATGTATGTGTGTGTGGTGCATGGTATGCATGGGTGGGGTGTAGAGTGTATGTGGTGTATGTGTGTGTGTGGTGCATGTATGTGTGTGGTGTATGTGTATGAGTGGTGTAAATGTGTGGTATATGTGTGTGGGTGTTGCAGGTGTACATGGGTGAGGTGTATGGTGTTTGTGTGTGTGTGGTGTATGTGTGTGTGATGTATGTCTCTTTGTGGTGTATGTGTGTGGTGTATATCTGTGGTATATGTGTGCAAGTGGTGCATGGTGTACATGGATGGAGTGTATAGTGTGTGTGTGTGGTGTATGTGTGTGTGGTGTATATGTGCAGGTGGTACATGGTATACATGGGTGGGATGTATAGTGTATGTGTGTGGTATATGTGTGTATGTGATGTATATGTGTGGGTGGTACATGGTATACATGGGTGGGGTGTGCAGTGTATATGTGAGGTGTGTGTGTGGTGTATGTATGTGTGGTATATGTATGCAGTAGTTCACAGTGCACGTGGGTGGGGTGTGTAGTGCATATGTGTGTGGTATATGTGTATAGGTGGTACACGTGTGTGGTGTATGTGTTATGTGATATATGTGTGTCTGTGGTATATGTGTGTGTGGTATGTGTGCATGGGGCATATGTGTGCAGGTGGTACATGGTGTACATGGGTGAGGTACATAGTGTATGTGTGTGGTTGTGGGTGTGGTTAATGTGTGTGGGGTGTATGTGTGTCTGTGGTGTATGTGTGTGGGTGGTGCATGTGTGTGGTGTGTGTCTGTGATATAAGCAGGCACAATTGTTCCTTGCTTTCTGGCATTTGCTCAAGGGCTTCCTGTGAGTACCAAAATACACGATGCTCAAATCTCCTCTATAAAGCAGCACAGTATTTACATAGAACCTACACAGCCCTCCTGTGGACTTTAAACCATCTCCAGATTACTTCTAAGACCTAATTATACAACATAAATGCTATGTAAATAACTGCTACATTATATTGTTTGGGGAATAATGACAAGAAAAAAGTCTGTACAGGTTCTGTACAATTTTTTTCTTTTCTGAACATTTCCAATCTATGCTTGCTTGAATCCATGGCTGCTGAATCCTTGAATATGCAGATGCCATGGTGTATGGTGGGAGAGTATGTTTTGTGTATGTATTGTTATGTGCACTATTATAGGGGATATGGCATATGATGTGTGGGGGTATTATATGGTACATGGGTATGTTACTGTGTGGGCATGTCACATGTATGTGTGGTATGTGTATAGTATGTAGATAATGCGGAGAGATGTAATGGAAAAGCCCTGTGTGCAGGAAATATTGAGTGTGTGTGGTACATATGTAGGCTATGATATGTCTTATGTCTATGTGGTGTGTGTATACTGTGTGTGATGTGTAGTATGTGATGTGAGTTGTGTGTGGTATGTGATTTGAATAGGTAGGATGTGTGGTGTTTGGTGTATGCAAGTGTGGTATGGTGTATACATATGTGTGTGCTGTGTGTAGCATGTACATGTAGGGTGTGTGAGTGGTATGTCCATGTAGGGGGTGTGTGTAGTGTGTTCTGTAATACAGAGTACACATATGTGTGTTGTATACATACAGGGTGTGTGTGGTATGACATGTACATGTACATGTACATGTAGGCTGTGCACATGTGTGAGATGTGGCATGTAGTGTAGGGTATGTGTGTAACTGTATGTGTGGTGTGTTGTGAGGGTTGTGTGTGTGGTGTGTACACGTGTGGTGTGGGTGTGTATGTATGTGCATGTGTGTGTGTAACAAGGAGGAGGTGGTGCTCCCCTCCTGACCCTGTCCTCTGGGCCTTCCATGGCCCCTGGGTGCCCCTCAGCCCTCCGGCCAGGCTACACCAGTGCCTTTCTCACCAGCCTCTCCCAGGGTCCTAGTGAGCAAGGCGGAGGGCACAGGAGGAGACACCAGCACAGGACCTTGGGGGCTGTGGTGTTTTACAAACTTCTGAAAACAGAGGTGCCCCAGCCACAGGACCCCCACGCCCTGCCCTTTCCCAAGGCCGCCCCGTGCTCAGACAAACCCCGCCGGGTAGAGGGAAGGGGGACGCACAGGGCCTTGGCCTTCTTCTCCGAGAACACCCTCAAGCAGAACTCGCCGTCCTTGAAGGGCTCGAAGGTGGACGGCACCACCAGGTACTCGCCGGGGGGCAGCCGGGTTCGGCTGCACACCTCCCGCAGGTTGATGAAGGTGCCGGAGCGGGCGGACGGCTGGTGGCCCAGGAAGAAGTCCCGGCCCAGGTGCACGTCTGTGTGCCTCTCCAGCTGCACAAAGCAATAGGCAGAGTCAGTTTCTCCTGAAATCCTGGAAGATGCCATCCGAAGAGCTCAGTTTTATTGCGCTGATGTAAGGATCGCTGATTTTTAACACCGCGTTAAGAGTCAGGGGGCCTTGAAGTCTGTCCAGCACTCACTGTGTCAATCATCCCGTGTATTCTGAGCACCTTCAGTGCCAGGCCCAGTTTGAGGCACTGACATTGACTGCATGAGCTTGGCCAGACCCCTATCCCCCATGGGACCTCCCTGGTTAAACAGTCTCAGGGGCATATGTCGTGGTGCCTGGAATTAAATGGCCCCACCCCATAGCAGAGTGCCTGGTTCAGGTCCTAGCTACTCCACTTCTGGTCCACCTTCCTGCTAATGAGAATCCTGGGAGGCAGCAGGCGATGGCTCAAATACTCGAGTCCCTGTCACCCCCATAGGAGATGCACACGGAGTCTCAGCCCAGCCCTGACTGTTGCAAGAACTTTGGGAGTGAACCAGCAGATGAAATCAATCAATCAATCAATCAATATCTCTCTCTCCCTCCCCCTCCACCCTTCCCCTGTCACTTTCTATTACTCTGCCTTTCAAATAAATTAAAAAATAAGTAAGCATTTTACAAGAAAACGAAGGGTTGAACAGCAAGGTCTCCAATCTGTACTAAGGTTCTCTTTAGATGTTTTTTCCTCTTGATCCTACAGACTCTTGTTCTGCAGCATCCCTGGGGGTGTAGCATTGACCTTCCAGCTTAGGGCTGAGGCTGCAGAAGAGGACTTAAATCTTTGTCCTCAAGCAAAAGCAGCCAGGGGGCAGCTGAGAGGGAGGCAGGTGCAGCCAGGCCCAGGGTGGGGCCCCTCCTGGTGCTCCTGGGACAGGGGAGGACGGTCCCATGACCCACCTGCTTGTGGAGGAAAAGGAGGAGGCTGTTGGTGCGTGACATAGGCTAATTAGTGACTGCAGAGTGCTTCTGAAACACAGGTGCCCACGTTGCTGCTGCTGTAATGAGGCCTCCCCACAGCACTGCCTCTTTGTGCTCAGTCTTCATCAAGACACCTACGACAGGGCAGGTGCTGACGAGCAGCAAGGGCTGTGACTTCCATGTGACCTGAAGCTGGACTGCCCACTGCGGGGTGGACAGAGTCCTCAAGGGCACCAGACCCTCCTGGGATCCCTGGTCTGTTAAGCAGGGGAGGGAAACAGGGCTACCTGCCCCACCATCCTGGCCAGGACTCATGCATAGCTGAGGTCCCCTCTTCCCACCAGGAACCCCAAACAGGCAGGTGTCAGAAGGTGTCTGGCCCTCAGATCTTCCCCTGCCATGTCAGCAGCAGTGACGGGAGGTGGGTGGAGCAGGTGTAACAGAGAGTGGGTCTCAAAGCTGGCCAGGGACCAGTGTGAGCACTAGAGTGGGTGAGAGACAGACTTGTTAGAAACAGATTCTCAGACCCTTTCCAGGCCTGCAGAATGAGAAGCTGGGGGAACAGGGCCCAGCGATCTGCGCTTCTACAAGGCTTGCAGCAGACTGATTCTGAGGCACCTTCAAGCTGGACAACCTTGGACCTGAAGACCCCCCTGGCAGAGCGCAGTACCCATGGTGACACACTGAGGGCACTGCTGGGGGAGGGGCCGCAGTGTGTGTGTGTGTGTGTGTGTGTGTACAGCATTGCACTCAAAACAAGCCGACTGCACTTAACTCTGGTGCTTTCGGTGCCAGGACACTGAAAAGCACTCAAGTGAAAATGTAATTAAAAGTTTATTTTGGGGGTCAACGCTGTGGTGTAGCAGGTAAAGCTGCCACTTGCGGTGCCTGCCTCCCATATGGGCACCAGTTCAAGTCCCGGCTGTTCCACTTTCAATCCAGCTCTCCGCTATGGTCTGGGAAAGCAATAGAGTATGGCCCAAGTGCTTGGGCCCCTGCAAGGATGTGGGAGACCTGGAGGAAGCTCCTGGCTCCTGGCTTCTGATTAGTGCAGCTCCAGCTGTTGCGACCATCTGAGGAGTGAACCAGCGAACGGAAGATCTCTCTCTTTCTCTCTACCTCTGCCTCTCTGTAACTCTGCCTTTCAAACAAATAAATAAGTCTTTTTAAAAAAAATCATTGCCTTTAAAAGAAGTTTATTTTGGTGCAGAAAAATTTGCAAACCCTGCATAGTTTTTCCCTAATAGGCATTCTCCCCATGAACATTTTGAAGATCTCTTGTATTTTCAAAGTCATCCAAGCCTCCTTCCTCCATAAGCAGTTACATGCATGTGTGAGCCAAGGGCAGGGTAGACCCCAAGTCTGCATCCTTCAGCATGGCATGGGATGGGGCCATGACTTTGACCCCCACTGGCACCCACTGCATAGCTAGCTAAGTTCAAGAACCTGCAAGTACAGGAGTAAGACTGTGTGCAGCAGGGCCAAGGCACCTCTGCATAACAAATGCCCTTGACTCCCACTGTGGGGAGTCCCATTCAAAACCCTGATGGAGTCCTGAAAGCACTGGGACTTTTATAAACCTGTGATTCCTGGGTCCCCCACTACCACCACCACCAATTCTGATATAATCGCTCTGGGTAACAAGATTTTAAATGTTCCCATAGTTGCTGCAAAGGAGATCACTGGGCTGACTTAGTGCTGGCAGCGCTGAGATGCACTCTCATGGCAGGCCACAAGAGCCACCTCCTGGGTGTCCCCTGGGGCTCTCGCCTCCAACCAGCTAAGGCAGGTGGTACAGGCGAGCGAAGGCCGGGCTGGTGGCAGGAAGCCCCGATGTGAGTGTGACGATGATGACAGCCTCCCTAATCCAGTTGTAAGTTACTGAGGAGGAACAGGAAAAGCTGGCAGCCAGATATCTATTACTGGGAGCCTAAACTGTGCTACAATCATCTTGTTCTGAGCAGATGAACAGGTGCAAGGGCAAAGGTCACCACTGTGCTCTTTCACGGGAACCTGGCCGGAGGGACTTGGGACTGTCTTTACCAACTCGCAGGGCTGCCCACTCAGCGCTTCCTACTGAGTCCCTGTGAGCCATCACGTGAAGCAGATACTGCTGGATGCCCGAAGGCCGCCAAGCTATTTCTTACCAAAGGAAGGACGCCTGCCAGCGCTCACGTACCTCCTTGGGAACCTGCAGGGCAGAAGAAAAGAGCAGGTCACCTGCGAGCTCCCAGGTGCTCCTTTGTGTCTTTGTATCCCCCAGTACCACCACCATTCCATCCTGCAGACAGGCATGCAGCCCTGGGCCACCAGACCAGTCAGCTACTGAAATCCGGGCAAGCAAGAGGGACTCCACACTCTTATTTTCTAGTTGGATAATCTACCAGGATCCCAGGTTCTTCATTTAACCTTGAGGGTTAAATGACATCTAGTATCTTATGGGCCTACAGACCTAATACCTAATATCTTAGGCTACAGACCTAGCCTTCCAGAGCGAGGGATCTCAGCCACATGCAGCCAGAATTTATCTTGCCCTTGGCTATGGTGAGTGGTCCGAGAACAGGCACATGACCCAAGCTGGGCCCATCAGAGGCTTTCTAGGATTCCGTAACCAGAATTAAGAAAGGGAGTCCTTCCTTTCTGATATCCAGAGGTGGAGAAATTGAGACCAGGCCAATGATGTTGACCCTGGAGGGGAGGGGAGAAGTGTCCCACTAGCTTCCGAGTCCTGAGTCCCCCAGTCCCTCTCCTTACTCTGCATGATTTCTTTTCCCACTGGCTTAGTCTGAGTTAGGCTTTCTCGCATACATTCACTACTGGATGGGTTGCCATCCACACAGATCAGCTCTCAGATCAAGCAGGAGCTGGGCTGGCAAAGGGGATTCAAATTCTTGTTCTGTCCCTCGCCCCCAGCTGCCCTACCACACAGGCCCTGCTGACCAGAAGGGCAGGGAGAGTCTTGTTCACAGCATTGAGAAACAGGGCACCGGGAGAAAATGCCCATTAGCTGGCCTGCTTGCCTCCCGAGCTCCTGTCTTTCACCGGCAGCTGAGGTGGCAAAGTCCAGGGCTGCCATCATTCCTCCTTTAATTTGAGTTTCAAACCAAAATCACCCTTGAAGAGCCCTCATGGGGATTTTCCTCTCCACTCAGCCTAAAAGCTGCAGCCACCCTCAGCAGGGCCTTTCCTAACCAGCTCTGCCATCTCCATTAACAGCTCGGCCGTCGCCACCGCCCCGTCACGTGCTCTGACTGCAGCGTGGCGAGAGCCACGGGGCAGGAGTGAAGCCAGGCAGAGCAGCGAGGCGGGGGAGCAGGACGGAGAGGGACAGCCCCTGTCAAATGCAGGCTCCCACCCCCGGAACGAGCCGGCAGGAGCCTGTGGTCACCGCACGAAGGTAAGCCAGGGGCTGCTGGACAAGCAGGGCTCCTTAGCTTCAGCTGGATCCTATCTGTGTTTCAACTGGTGGCAGATTTCCAACGTCAAGCCAGACCATAATGTCAGACAGTTAAAACCAGCAAAGGAGCTATAGGGCTAGGAATGCAGTACCCCTACAACCCAGCATGCCCCTGCCCACAACCCCAGCCACTCCCTGCAGCCCCACACCCTCCACAACCTAACTTCAGAACTGTTTCTGCTCACACAAGCCATGCTCTACATTATTTGCCTCTGGCCATAAGAAGAAAGACCATGGCTCACATCCACTGCAGTATTTTATAAGCAGCTGTAACTTGAGGCCTGAGAAACGGACTGCTTTATATAATATTTGTGAAAGCAAACAGCATACCACACAAATCTTTCAGCCTCTGAACAAACACTTGGCTGATGTGGCTGCATAAGGTGGGCCTGATGAAGAAAGACCTAGTGGCCACGGTCCTTGAGGGTCCCACCCTGCAGCCACACCCACCTACTCTCTGCTCTGCAAAACCATCACTTAGACACACACGGTGCCCCCTCTGGCTAGAATGCTCTCCCTTCGCCACCTCTGAAATCCAGCTCATCTTTCAAAGCCCTGAACAAACGCCCGCTCCTCCATGCAGCTGCCCCTCTTCCAGGAGACCCCAGCGCACCCATGTTGGTCCCTAGCTCCTGAGCACCCTCGGGCAGTGTCCCCAGCTTTCAGCACTGCACCTGGCACATAGCAGGTGCTCCCTGAAGTTCCCTGCATTGATGTGCATTTACAAAGTGACCTCTCAGGCACTCCTTGGTCCCTAGAAGCAGAGTCTGGTTTTGTTCTATTTACATTCTAGGTAGGAATGGGAGGGCTGAGCTGGAGCAGAACTGGAGCTTATTTATTTGCATTAAGTAACCTGCCATCAAGTAGCAATTCTTTTCTAACTCCATCCTTCCAACACAAAACACACACACACACCCTAAACTCTCTAGCCCTACCTTTCAGAAAAGGATAAAGGAAGGGGTTGGGGTGGGGGGGTATGAGCTTGACAATTGCACATGTCCTCACTGGTGGCTTTTACAATGGCTATTTTTCATGCATTAATTTATCCTGAGATATTGGGCCTCCAGCCAGCTCTTAGTCTTCCTGATTAGAACTGCATTTTTCTCAAGAAATTCATTTGTAACAAAATTGTAAGAAACAAAAAACCAAAAACTCCACCACAAATCCCCCTGGAATTTGTTATAAGGAATCTTTGCCTGTATTAAAAAAAAAAAAAAAAAAAAAAAGGTGGGTTCCAATTTGTTCCTGGCCAGACTTGTCAAGATCCAAAGGTCTTGCTTCGACATTACCACTGAGACTGCTGGAGCCACAGAGGGCCGGTTACTGGAGCAAACCGGCCCCTGAGCAGGGGTCACAGCCCGAGACCAGAGACAGCTGTGTTCCCCAATGCAGAGACACCAGAACCAAAGATGGCCACTTCCAGCAGCCACTGCCCCATGGGTTTTGACATGTCGCTAGGCTCCCCAGAGTGGGAGGAAGCCGGCGTTCATCTTTGGCTCCCAGATCCAGCCTCCCTTCCCTCACTAAGCAAGGTTCCTTCTATGTCCCCGCAAGCGCTTTAGGTCCCCTACTGTTTGGCTCCTCTCTCCTGGGAAGGAAATCTAACAAGCAAGCACATTTACACTGCCCTCGATGACAGGCAAAGTTTAACGAATCAAGTTAACCGCAGACTTGAGACACAGGAATGAATCTACAGTTGCGGAGTTCAGGCCTCAGTAGCAGGCCACTGGGAAGGGTGCTTGGCGAGCAAGAACAATGCTTGGCTAGAAACATTCAAGCCACAGGGACGATGTATGCTCAAATGACTGCCACAGACCCAAGACAGCTCGCGTACGGCTAAGGCTGAACCCCGCTCACCTGGTAGACGGCGTAGCCGATGCTAAGCATGCCCTGCCCCATCCTCTTCTGCCGCCTGCGGTTCTTCTGCATCAGGCCCAGCAGCACCGTGCAGCAGGGCTCACCGGCGCTCTCCTCCTGGTCCTCATCCGCCTCGTCCAGGTGGATCTTGAACTGGGGATTGGTCCAGTACGTGGCTGGAGGTCACCCGGGGGAGGCGGTTCCCCGCGGTGGGTGAAGAAATGTGGAAGAATAAAATGAGAGGGGAGCACTTGGGTCATCCCAGGGAAAGCACCACTCAGGTGAGCAGACGGAGGAAGTGCTCTCCGCCCGGCGGCGGCACCGTCCCCTCCCCCCCCGCCCCCACGCCCACGCAAGCAGATGGGTCCCACACATTCACAAGGTTTGCATTTGTACATGTGATTCACCAGGAGCCCAGAAGTGCTCCACTGGGAATACTGAAGATCCCACAATCCCCAGGCTGCACTGTGTTGTGCTGGGAAGCGACCTCCAAGTCCCGTTGAGTTATAGTTTACATCTGCTTGTGCTCAGCTCCGGCCTGCCGACACAAAGCCCCTTCCTGGAGAAAGGGAGGTATCTCGAGTAAAAAGCCTGACCCTGGGACAGGCGCGGACAGGATGCCAGGGCAGACATGCCACCACAGAGGGCTGTGCCTGCCGGGTTGTGGGCCCCATACTCGGCCTGGGTCCTACCTCCGAGAGCATCCTAGCTCCAGGTCCCAGCCGGAAGCCACCCTAGGATCCGATCCTCTGTCCAGGGACCCAGGGTCTCATGGGATGGCGTCAGTGACCACAGCCCACTTGTGAGACACACTCCCTCCAAGAAGTCACGTAACAACGCACAAGGCTATCAAGACTCGGTCCTGCCACACCTCCCAAAGGGAGTTTAAGAGAATCCTTTTTTTTTTTTTTTTTTTTTTTTTTTTTTTTTTGACAGGCAGAGTGGACAGTGAGAGAGAGAGACAGAGAGAAAGGTCTTCCTTTACCATTGGTTCACCCTCCAGTGGCCGCCGCAGCAGGCGCGCTGCACCGGCGCACCGCACTGATCCGATGGCAGGAGCCAGGTACTTCTCCTGGTCTCCCATGGGGTGCAGGGCCCAAGTACTCGGGCCATTCTCCACTGCACTCCCTGGCCACAGCAGAGAGCTGGCCTGGAAGAGGGGCAACCGGGACAGAATCCGGCGTCCCGACTGGGACTAGAACCCGGTGTGCCGGAACCGCTAGGCGGAGGATTAGCCTAGTGAGCCGTGGCGCCAGCGAGAATCCATTTCAATAATGAGCATGCAAGCCAAGGTGCAGAGTCAAAAGGCTTGTGCTAGGGCACACAGCAGCTCTGTGGCAGTCACGCAGCGAGGACAGAGCCTCAGCAGGGCCAGTAATGCTGCGTCCTGGGGCAGAGAGGAGTTGGGGGGGGGTGTCAGGAGGGGGTGGGGCTTCTCTCACATCCTCTCAACAGGGCCCACTGTGATGGATCACCCATGGCACTCCCAGGAAACCCAGAGCCGTCCACCATGTCTATTTTCTCCTAGCAGGGAGATGACTTATTCATTGCCACCTGCCCAGGCTCTTCAGTTCCTGACTTTAAGGCGCAAGTGAAGGATTTTAAAGCCAAGTATTTATAGATTCCAGAAAATATTCTGTAATCTTCTTTCCAAAGACGAGGACGAGCCATTTCTTCCTGACCGGGAGCAAGCACACAGACGGGCCTGAGATTTGGTTCCCACAGACATCTTGGGCACCCCCTACAGTTCTGCACTCCCAGAACAATCCGGGAAGATTTGGCAAGCATTTGCTAAGAGCTTGCTAATGGTGAGCATATTTTAATTTCTCCCAAATGCGCCATCACTGCAAGCACTACACTTTTTTGTTTACTCTTTAACAGGACTAGAGGTAGAGAATGGGCCATAAAAAAACAGCTCCCGTTTGTACCACGCTGCGCAGTCGAGCAGGCACCTGCTGGCACACTCCGGCTCACAATGCTCACCGCATCTGGCTGGAAGGGATTAGGAAATGAAGCCCAGGAAAGGAGAACACCCCTCCCAGGGCCCCCCAGCTGTTAGGCTGAGCCCCAGGTGCAGGATGTGAGCTGCTGCCAGAAGGGGAGCTTTGGGGGGAGCGAGAATGCAGGAGGAGAGACTTTTCAAGAGCATGATTGTACCCGCGTGGGACTTCATTGTTTTTTAATTTTTGTTTATTTTCATTTTTATTTGAAAGACAGAGATAGACAGAGATCTTCTACCCACTGGTTCACTCCCCCAAATGCCCACAACAGCTGGGGCTGGGCCAAGCCAAAGCCATGATCTGGAAACTGTCCAGATCTGCGCGTGTGTGGCAGGGACCCAGGCGGGTTACCTGCTGCCTCCTGTAGGGTGCACGTGAACAGGAGGCTGGAATGGGGAGCAGAGCCAGGACTGGAACCCAAGCACTCCCATCTGGGATGTGGGCATCCCAAGCGGCGTCTTAACTGCCTTGTCAAACACCACTCCCGTGTGGGACTTTAGGATAACGCAACTTCCACAGACAATGTGCTGTGCTGAGGAGAAAGCAGCTGGCCCTGCCCCAGCGCTGAGGGCCCAAGTCAACCCACACAAATCAACCAAATCAACAAGGATCAGCAGCAAACCGGCTGGAGCGTGGGGCTTGGGAAGCGGCGTGGGCCGAGAGGGGTCCTCCTTGCTTCACTTCTCCTTACAGAGGTGGGCTGGCTTTGTCAGTTTCTTCATCAGGTGTGGGTTCAGCCTAGGAGGAGTCTATACACCGATCTATGAGTGAGCTTTTGTGAACCCGGAACGTTTCCCTTCGTTAGTAAGATAAGAAGCCCGCGTTAGTGCCCAGGCAACAGGTGCACCACTTGGGTCCCAGCAGGGATCGAGCCCAGTGGCGCCCTTGGGAGCAGGCGGTGGGCACACACAGGGAGGCTGTCCTTGAGCCACACTCTCTCACCCTTGCATCTCCGGCTCAGGTGAAGACACAGAGCAGAGCCGCCCCTGTGCTGGGTATGGGCCACGCTCCCTCAACACACCATCAGCCACGCTGTCCCAGAGCTCAGTGGGGGAGGTGGAAACGTGTAAGGAGGACCGTGGGGATCGGGAGCAGCTGAGCAGGAAGAAGCGAGGGGGCGCAGCCATGGCCAGCTGGGTGAAGCAGGGTGGGTCTGAACACATAGAGGCTGAGATAGGACCTGCGGCCCACCTTCGTTTCCCTGGCCTCCAAGCCCCCTAACCCCCACCCCTGCCCCAGGGAGAAGCAGGGCCTCCCGAGGGTGCCCAGGAGCCAGGAACAACATGCAGAGGAGTAACCCAGAGATCACAGAGGGGCTCGCAGCTCCAGGAGGGGAGCGGGGGGGGGGCAGGGCCCAGGCCGCCTCAGGGCCTTACCTGGGTAGTTCTGGCAGCCCCCCGCGGTGGAGCCCCGTGTCCAGCGGCCGTTGAACAGGACCAGGTTCCACTTGTGCACTTCCTCACTGCTCAGGGAGTCTGGGGACAGGTTGCAGATCTCCAGGCGAGAGAACTGTCTCAGGAAGTCTGAAAATGACATCCTGGGCGGGGCAGGCAGAGGAACCCAAGGGCTCTCAGTGGAAAAACAATCGAAGCCAAGTGCTGGGCACCACAAAGAGCCCCGTGAGCATCCGCAGAGGCCACAGCTGGCCAAGGGGTCCCCACAGCCCACCGCCACAAGCGCACAGGGACTGCCATCCAAATTCCTGGCTGTGGTTGGCGTCTCTGTTCTTGGAATGAGCTCCCCTTGCCTATCTGCCCCCAGGCAGAGTCTGAGCCATAACCTGGAAGAGGTCCCAAGAGGTGATCTGAGCACAGCCCCTGCCTCTCAGTTGGGTCAAGGTCAAGCCCACAGGAGGCTCCTTTCCATTTGCTTCTCAGTGACCTCCAGCGGAGACGTGGGCACTAAATTGTAGCACAGCTAAAAGGCGGCCCTGGAGTCTTCCTGAGCCCACAGGATGGAGGTTACCCTGCTGTGATGAAGACCAGAGCTTCCCGCAGAGACACAGAAGCAGTGCTAAGACCACCGAGGCCACGGCCCACGGGCTGATGGCTAAGCCACAATGAGAGCCCAGGCATCGTGGGTTGCATGCTTCACGCCTGCTGCCACAGCGGTAGAACCAGACCAGGGCCAAAAGGGTGAAAGCCCCCATGGCCAGGAACCACGATGCCCTCCTGGAAGACTCGAGTCCCACCTGCCAGAGACGGGCTGCACTGCCCATCAGATCTGGGGGGACCCCCACCCCGAGGCAGGGCTCTGCGGCAGAAACCCCCTCACCAGAACTCTCCATCCTCCGCTTTCTTGTCCAGCTCTTCCTTCCGCCTGGGATCGATGTCGTTCCACTCGGGGGCGCTGGGAGGAAAGAAAGGAAGCAGGGAAGTGATCGCGCCTGGGGGTTCCCACCTCGGCACAAGCCGTCCACTGCACTCGAACTTCCCAGTAAGGACCAGAAACAGAACATCCACAAAAGGCAGGTGTCGGGGGAGTGCATGGTCCGGGCGGCAATCCAGGCTGCGGCTCAGCCTCCACGGGGACCAGCGGGGGGTCTGGGACATATGGCAGGAGCATTATGGCCTGGCTCTACCCTTTGCGCTCCAGGTAAGATTCATGTTGCTCATGGCAGGGGTGAGGAAGTCCAGGAGAGCAGAGGTGAGGCGTGCACTCCACCACCATTGAGGCAGGCAGCCTCCTGGCTTACCCATCAGCCCAGGGTGAAGGCACTGGGAGAGGCCTATGCCTGCAAGAACTGCCCCCAAGGCCTGGTTTTCTAGCCACTTCCCTGAAGTGGTACCACCCTGGGAGGCCTCCCGCTGGTGGCCTTTCCCTAGCAACAACCACATATTTTGTTCAAATGCCATCTCCAGCTCCCTGACCTTTACAAAGTGAGGTTTTCCTGAAATACATATGCAGTGTCGAAGTAACGGTGCAGCATCGAGATCCACCTTCAGAGGGGGAAAAAATCTCTTCCCTAAAAATTTGCAGCAAAACCCAAAGGCCTGCTATCCCCAGATAAAAGCTGGGACACCCCCAAGCCTAGACTCTTCCTTGCAGTTGAACTCTAAGAGCCGGGGGATCCACGGGAGCCCTCCTAGGGCCCTTCATTCATTAAACATGAATTTGCTAAAGCAGCTCTCAGAAGGTGCTTGTTATAAACAAAGATTGGGGACACATGGGAGAATTCCAATAAGTCCAACCTAATCTCCCAGTTGGTTTGTTTAAACTTAAAAAAAATGGTAAAATCTAGTTAGACTATGGGCTGGGCCCAGGGATGTTACCCTCCTACTCCAACAGTCAACACAGACTATGCTGAGCTCTGTCTCCAGCTGGAGTCACCCCCAGGCCTCACCGGTCACCGCCTGCCACCCCTGGGCTTTCCCAGCCTGGGCGCAGTCAGAGCAAGGAAGCGAAGTCACAGCTTGGGAGCAACGGCCAGCACTCAGGATTAGATTCATCTGGTCTGATGGCCCTGTAGGGCAGCTGGCAGAATGGAGCTCTGGGGTTTTTTCAGTGTGAGCAGTCGAATGAAAAGGTTTTCTCATACAGGGGCTGCCCACCGCGGCCCGCGGGACAGGTGCACTTCACGACACCAGGCCCAAAGGAAAGCACAGCCGCTCTGAGCCTAACGGTGCGGGGATGAAGATGGTTACGTCTTCTCCCGATGTCCTCACAGAGGATGCACACCCGTGGGGGGTGCCCCTGAGGCTTAGGGACGGCTCAGGAAAGGGGGTGGCCACATCCACCCACACTTCTGGTGACTGTTCATCATGAAAATGAAGGGTGGCCCCAGCCTCCCTCGTACCAGCCGTGCTCAGCAGACAGCAACCCCCAGGCCTCCTCCATCCTCCTCCTGCAGCCAGGGCTCAGCCGGCCGGGACGCCCCCACCTCTGATCGACTCGTGCCCTCCAGTGGAAAGGCTACCCAAGAAGAGCCTCCCCAGCTTCTAGGGCGGGCACCACTCCCACCCAATACCACCTGCAGGGGCTGTGGCTCCTGGGTCAAGTTCCGTCCTCCCAGCATCATCCTTTCCCCTTGGTACAGCAGGCTGTGGCCTTTGTCAAAGTGATCAGCGTTTGTGAGTAGAAAGGGTCAGGCTGTGGGGGACCCAGGTGACCTTTGGGTCACCGTGGTGAGGTGGGCAGATAACAAGCAAATGCTTCCATGCTAAGCAAAACTCGACAAAGCCACCAAACCCTCAAATGCTAGAGCAGAGCAGAAATCCAGACTTGAGGAGCGCTGCTCAGTGGTTTCTCCATCGCTTTTCCCAGCCTGGACTCATCAAATCCTCGTTTCTGAGCAGGCGATGTGACTTCCGGACGGTGAGTGCCCCACGATCCGCCCGCCCCATCGTGCGGGTCTCCCACGACACCTTTCCCGGGAGGGAGCCAGGGCGGGGAAGGGAGGGAGGAAGGCACCTACTCATCGCTCCAGGCTCCTGACCATTCCACTTCGCCCCATGGGTTCCTGAGTCGGATCAGCTTCTCTGGGCGGCCGTGGAAATGCACCTGCAAGTGCCACACACAGAGAAGCAGCTGAGAGACGGCGCCCCCTGCTGGCCGGCACTCCCAGCAGCACCTGAAAGGATCTGCGTTAGGTTGTCGAATGTCCTGAAACGGCCAGGCTTTTATTTACTCTGAGGGCAGCTTTTCAGGCCGTGGTTGAATGCTCTTATTTTTCATGATGTGTGTGGATAATGAAGAATGGGTGTAGCACAAAAACCAGTTGATGTCTGCTTTGGCTTTGATGTAGATTTTATAGTTGACTCAGTTGACTGTGTTCTTTGTATCTGAACCCTCACGATGTTAAACATCCTCCAAATAGCTCTCAATGGCACAGCAGGTAGCAGTTAAGGAGGAGGCACAGTGCTAAGTCCCTCGAATGCATCAGTGCCTCATTTAACCACAGAACAACCCTGTGAGCTGCAGACTACCAGTATCTTCATTTTCCAGCTCCAAAATCTGGGACTCAGGGAAGTTCAGTGACCCAGCGTTGTCTTGCTAGAAAGTGCTGGATGCTGCATGGGAGCCTGCCTCCAAGGCCCACATCCCACCTGCTCTGCTTTGAATGTTGAAATTCCATCGTCGTCGTCGTCATCGTCGTCGTCATCGTCATCATCGCAGCAGTGTTTGGAGGTGGGGCTTTTTTTTTTAAAGGAAGACTTTTTTTCCCCCAAAGATTTATCTATTCATTTGAAAGTCAGAGTTACACAGAGAGAGGAGAGGCAGAGAGGGAGAGAGAGAGAGAGAGAGAGAGAGAGGTCTTCCATCTGCTGGTTCACTTCTCAGTTGGCTGCAATGGCCAGAGCTGTGCCAACCAGAAGCCAGGAGCTTCTTCCAGGTCTCCCACATGGGTGCAGGGGCCCAAGGACTTGGGCCATGCTCTACTGCTTTCCTAGGCCATAACAGAGAGCTGGATCAGAAGAGGAGCAGCCAGGACTCGAACTGGTGCCCATATGGGATGCCGGCACTGCAGGCGGCAGCTTTACCTGCTACGCCACAGCGCCGGCCCCAAGGTGGGGCTTTTAATAAGGGAGGGATTCACACCTTTCTCATGGGCCTGGGTTAATTCTCCTGGCAGTGAGTGAGCTCTAGGTCTCTCAGGACTGGATTATTTACTGAAAAAGTGGGGTGTTAGAAAGTGAGCCCCATCCCCACCTGTCTCTCATCTGAATGTGCCCTCCTGACTTCCGCCACGTGATGTAACTGCACAAGTGCCACAGCTGATGCTGTCACCCAGTGCTGGACTTCTCAACCCCCAGAGTCAAGAGCTAAACAAAGCTCCTTCCTTTATAAATTACTCAGGCTTAGGTCTTTGGTTACAGCAAAATAAAGCAACTAAGACATTGCCTTCCCCTCACCTTTACTGAACACTCGAGTATGACCCCCATCCCCGGGGCTCCTGCACACCTGCCTGCATCTGCGCACACACACACACACACACACACACACACACACAGTTAGGTCTTCATTGTCTTAATTTCCCCATATCCTCCATTATGCCCTAGCCCAAAGTTTACCCACACATGTTCCATTTGTGTTTACAGGCTTGACTTGACTAAAGAGCATATTCATCAACCATAAACACACGTGTAATGAGCGTCCATGCTCTTTGAATAAATAACAAGAACTGGGTCACCCACTGCACTTCCATTTTTGCATTGGCCATTGGGAAACCCAAAGCAAAATTAATTGTTCAACTGTAGCTCTGTCTTCAGCCTAGATGAATATATTTTACCTTAGTTACTTTCAATTGTAAACTGTTTCAAATTATTTTAGAAAGTAGGCAGAAAATAGAACTAAAAATAAGGGCCAATGTTGTGGCATAGCGGGTCAAGCCGCCGCCTGCAGTGCCAGCATCCTATATGGGCACCAGTTTGAGTCCTGACTGCTCCTCTTCCGATCCAGCTCTCTGCTATAGCCTGGGAAAGCAGTAGAAGATGGACCAAGTCCTTGGGCTCCTGCATCCATGTGAGAGACCTGGAGGAAGCTCCTGGCTCCTGGCTTCAGATCAGCACAGCTCCAGCAGTTGCAGCCAACTGGGGAGTGCACCAGCGGCTGGAAGACCTCTCTCTCTCTCTTTCTCTCTCTCTCTCTCTGCCTCTCCTTCTCTCTGTGTAACTCTGACTTTCAAATAAACAAATAAATCTTTTAAAAAAAGAAATAAAAATTATAGCCCATGCTTTCCCCTTGGGTTAGAGAGGAAGAAATGCCTGCGTGCCTTTTCAACCTTATATCCCACCCTGAAAGTTGGGACAGGCATTACTGTCTTTGTCCCCTTTGGGGATCCTGTGCATCTTCACAGCTTTACCTACATGAAAATACTCTTGGAATATACATACAGTCTAACTGGCATCCTCTACCTTCCCTAGACACACAACAGAAGAGAGCCCGAATCAAGTCAGAAGCCCCGAGCTAAAGTTCAGAGGGTTACACCCCAGTCTCTGCGTGGGTGAGTCGGGAGGGCCCTGGGAGTGAACGGAAGCTAACCACACACCTGCAGTGCTGGGGCTCTGTACAGCAGGCCACGGAAGCTCCAAAGCCAACCACGAGCCTTGTAGTGCCGATCACCCCTCTCTCTCTCTCCCTCTCTCTCTGGCCTGGATTTGTGGTAATACTGCAGCATAGAACCTCCCGCTCCTCTCATCAATTTGTACCTCTTCGACTCCAGTGACAGAGTACGCGTGACTCTTGACCAGCTTCTGGCTGGTGATGGCTTCTGTCTCAGCTGCATTGGAGACCTGGGCCGAATAGAAAGTGCACTCAGGGTGGCTGACCGTGACCTGTTTGGAGCCATCCCTACAACACTGTCCACGCACACACTACACAGCCAAGGCTGCCCCAGCGTGGGACTAGGGCTGCAGACCCGGCAATGAAGTGCAGGTATGTGGTGCCGTCCCCATTCACCCCTCTTTAATCAGGCCTGCAGGTGCAGCAGGTGCTGTGTGGCAGGGAGCTGAAGCAGCCCCACACTGCCTGGAGACTAAGTATCCTCGACGACAGAAAGTCAGGAAAGAAAGGTAGCTGGTGGGGCGCGTGGCAACAGACCCTCCGGGCTGCTGGCCTCCACGGCTCTCTGCTCCCTGCGACCATCTGAGCGCTCCAGGAACCCACCCCTCTGGCCGACCATGACCCCTGGTTTCAGAACACCTTCCTTTTTCCTCAGGGATCTCCAAGTCCACCAAGTATCACCAGTCACTCCTGCTTTCCAGAATCCCCAGATTATCTGGCATCAGGGGAGTAGCAGAGGTAGGGCCTAGGGTCCAGGGCAGGTGTTTGTTCTCAGGGCGTCCCAGCAGCACTGACTAAAGGGAAACTGGGCTTCCTATAAGGCGACTAACCCCAGCTCCTACCCACTAACTAGGTCTTCAGCAGCTCCTTTGTACTGCCACCAGCATGTCACCAGATTTGCCCACAAGGTCCCAGACTCTGCGCTGGCCCAAAGCCTTGTCAGGCCTCTCTCGCTCTCCCTGTCTGGCCCCTTCCCCTCCGTGCAGGGGGGAGGAAGGAAGAGCAGCCCCTGGCTCACATCGATGGAGCAGCCCAGCAGAGACCCCTTGCGCAGGGCCTTCCGGACGATCTGATACAGATTAGGGGGCGGCTCCTTCAGGTCGTAAAACTCAGAGATGCCACCCGTGAAATCTTCAAACCCCTCCACTGTGGACCCTCCGGTAAGAGCTTCGTACGAGCCGTTGAGCCTGTTAGGGAAGACAAAAGACACGCACCATCTAAACTATTAGCAACCACAGCATGGGGACCCCGGGGTAGGGGTCATACTGGGGTCTGGAAGGTCAAGGAGGGCCCTTGGCCAGTTTTGCCTAGGGGCCAGGAAGTGCTCAGGCCATGGCTCCACAAGGCCAGCCCAGACACTTGACGAAGAACTCTAACAACCTGTGCCCCGGCCACCCACTCCTTGACAAAGCTGGGGGGTCATCCTTCCAGAACTGACCTTGGCTCCTTGCAATTCTGGCACTAGGGGTCAGGTAGGGACAAGAGGACCCTCCCTCAAGGCTGAGAGGCAGCTGCTGGGGTGTTCTTTAGAAAAGGTCCAGAAAGGAACTGGGGTTGCAGAAAGAGGTGTCAGTAAACAAAGCTTAAGAACCCCGAAGAAGGCCTTGAACGGCAAATCCCAGCGAGGGGGGCTGGCGCTGTGGCACGGTGGGTTAACACCCTGGCCTGAAGCGCCAGCATCCCATATGGGCACTGGCTCTAGTCCCGGCTGCTCCTCTTCTGGTCCAGCTCTCTTCTATGGCCTGGAAAGCAGCAGAAGATGGCCCAAGTCCTTGGGCTCCTGTACCCGCATGGGAGACCGAGAAGAAGCTCCTGGCTCCTGGCTTCGGATCTGCGCAGCTCTGGCCATTGTGGCCAATTGGGGAGTGAACCAGCGGATGGAAGACCTCTCTCTCTCTCTCCTCTCTCTGTGTAACTCTGACTTTCAAATAAACAAATAAATCTTTAAAAAAAAAAATCCCAGTGAGAAGGAAAATGACTCCTGAAAGAGGGGTGCAGACTTAGTTGAGTTTGGGATCTAAACACATTTCTTCTTTATTCTTCTTAAAATTCACCTTGCCTGGGGCCAGTGTTGTGGTATACCAGGTAAAGCTGCTGCCTGCAATACCAGCATCCCATATGGGCACCAGTTCAAGACCCAGCTGCTCCACTCCAGTCCAGCTCCCTGATAATGGCCTTGAAGCAAGGGATGGCCCAAGTGTTTGGCCCCTGCGTCCATGTGGGAGACTTGGAGGAGGCTCCTGGCTCCTGGCTTTGGCCTGGCCCAGTCCTGGCTGTTATAGCCATCTGGGGGGTGAAACAGCAGATGGAAGATCTCTCTCTCTCTCTCTCTCTCTCTCTCTCCTTCTCTCTTTGTAACTCTGACTTTCAAACAAACAAACAAACAAAAAAAATCCTTTAAAAAAATCATCTTCCCTTAATAGCCCACACCAGGATTTGAGAAAGCAGAGAGCTGAGGCCCAGACAGACTAGGCAGTCACACATTCATGCGGGATGGAACTGCGGTTTTCAACCCCCGGTTCAAATTGCTCTTTCTCCCTGTGACCAAGGGATGCTTTCTCTCCAGCCCCTGGGGGTCCACCTGCTGGGAAAGAAGTGGCACAGGCTGGCAGGTGTGTGTGTGGGGGGAGTGCCCCGGGGGCTCTGCACTCTTACTTGGCGTAGGCCTTCTCCAGCAGGGCGCTCCAGAACTCACTCCTCTCTGCCGAGTGCACGAAGAGCAGCTGCCCGTGCCTGGTGGGCAGCCGGTCGTCCACCACCACCTCCACCCACTCGCCATACTGCCAGAACTGGGGGCAGGAAGACAACACAGGGCCTCACATGAAAACACAGAGGGGCGAGGGGGAGTCTTCAGTGGGCCTCAGACGGGGCTCTGTGCGTCTCTGTTAAGTCCTGGGCCTTTTGTGAACTCCAAGCTCCTTAGGAGCAAGATCCCTGCCTCCCTCACCTACCCCTTAGGAGACACTGGATGAACCAGGAGGCATCTGGTGCAGCCTCTGGGTTTGTGGGTGAGAGAACATTCCCAACACCATCCAGTGGCAACAGTGACTCTGACGTGGCCTGAAGGAGGGGGCAGGGGGTGGGCCCATGGATGTCTGGATGCATGCACTAAAGCAGTGGTTTTTAGACTTAAGCGTGCACCAGAATCCCTTGGGGAACTGCTCACACACAGTGCACTGGGCCCCACCACGAGACTTTCTGATCTGGCGGAACTAGGGTAGCACCTGAGAGTATGGGACGTGGTGTACCTGAGCAAGGCACGGTACCTGGAAATGAAAGATGCCCGCGTAGTCCTTCTGGAAGCTCTGGTCCTTGGGAACCACGCGGTAAAGCAGCTTCTCATTCAGGGTCAGGGAAGCAATGGCCGCCAGGAGCCAGCAGTCACCTGCACAGTGCCATGGGGGACACAGGCTGCTCAGGCCAGGCCTGCAGAGTCCTTGCCTTCTCTGATCCTCACTGCCCCGTTCATCCAGAAGGCCGCGTCTGTCTTAGTCCATTGCTGCTGCCATAGTAAAATCCCTGAGACCAGGCAGTTTACAAAGGGAATACATGTATTTCCGCTGGTCCTGGAGTCTGGAGAGTCCAAGATCAAGGAGCCAACAGATTTGGGGTCTCATGAGGGCTGCTCTCTGCTCCCCACATGACCCCTGGGCACCATGTCCTTGCCTGTCAGAAGAGCAGCAGGCAAAGGGACCTCGCTGGTTCTCTCCAGCGCTTCCATAAGAGCTCTGCTGTGGCTGGGATGTGGTTAGTGCCCCCACCCCAAAACTCACGTGGAGATTAATCCCCAAGAGGAGATACTAAGAGGCGACTGGCGCTCTGTCCTCATGAAGGCAGGAATCCACTCAAGTGACTACTGGGTTGGCGGGTCATCGTGAGAGTGGTCAGCGGGCTCTCTTGTGTGCTCCCTGTCGCCTACCATGCTGCTCTGGGACTCTGTCAGCAAGGTCATCACCAGATGTGATGCTTTGACCCAGGACAAAAACCTGAGCCACAATAAATCTTTCTCCTTTATAATTTACCCAGTCCGTGCTATTGCGCTATTAGCAATAGGAAAGAAACTCAGACAGGCACCAATCCCATTCATGAGGGCAGAACCCTAGAGCCTTGGTTCTTATGTTCTGACTATGAACTTGGAGGGATGCATCCACCCTAACCTTGGCACCATCACCCCACCCCCTTATTCATCAGGCAGCCCCCTTCCCTGCCCCTAGTGTCAGCAGTCAGCCCCCGAGGCCTCGGTGGGGGCTCAAATTCTCTGCCCCTCCCTGCTGCGGCGCCCACGTGCTGACCACAGCACATCTCCCGAGCACTCTACCCAGGGAGTGAAAAATGGAAAGAAAGAGAAGAAGGGAAAATCGGTCCCTAATTAGCAACTCTCATGGATTTGGTTGAGGGGGAAACACTGAACTCTTTAGCCACCCTTATTGTGTGCGTGCATGTGAGTACGCGAGTGGGTGCGTATGTGAGCGACAGCGAGCTCCCTGCTCTCATGGCCTGGGCTTGCAGAGAGCTGGCTCTGGGTAACCGTCTGGAGCGCTGCCCTTCAGTGTCTCAGTGTTCACCATGACAGCCCTGCTGCCCTGTGCTGATGACTCTGCAGAGACACTGATGAGCTTCCAATCAGCAGAGTCTGAAGCAGAAGAAATCAAAGCCAAGAAAGGTGAAACATCGGGGCGCTGCTGTTGGCCACCTTGGAGATTCAAGCACACGCGGCAGCAAACAGAAAAGCCCTTTCTGTGAGCTCCCGGGTGGCTCTGGGAAGGGCACAGGCCCTACACGGCACCTCGCCTGCCTCACCACGCCATGGTCAGCTGTCATCTCGGAAGTGATGTCCCCTTTCTCACCTGCACTTGCATGCTTGCTGCACACCAGCCCCTGAGGCCTCCAAGGCCTGCAGGGGGCTTCTCTCCTCTCCCCGGCCAGCACTCCCTTCTCCAGCACAGCCCAGCTCTCGGAGTCTAGGGTCTGGTGAACAAGTCCCTGTTTCTCCTGTCCAGCCAGGTGACGTGGCCCCAACCCCTCCCTGCATGTCCCGGCCTTCATCTTGTCCGTATGAGGCCTGTCACCATTCAGAGACCCTTGGCAGCCCTCGCCTAGCTCTGTCTTCCTTAACCCCGCAGCCGACGCTGCTGACCTGTTGCACAGGTGAACGTGTCGTGCCTTCCTCAGGCTCAGGTTGTCTGAGTGAGCAGTAAGCAAACTGGGCCCGGGGAGCCCACACCTGGGGGTGCCAGAGGAGCACCACCCAGAAGCCCCTCTCTGCCCCGGCTCCACCTCACCACCAAACACCATCCTCCTGGTGGAAACAGAGCTCCCAGGTGAGACTCGACCTGGGAGCCGCAGGTGGCATGGCCTGTGTGCACAGGCAAGCACGGGTATGTCACTTCTCATTAAAGAAGCCTGGAGCAGGGCAGTATCTCATTACCAGGCAACTTCTGCAGAGTGGATAAAATACCAGTTTCCTCCTCTCACTCAGCTCGCCTTTCTCCCCACAGCCACCTCTGATCATGCCATCCCTCTGCCCAAAAACCCACGACTCTTCTCCATTGCTCACACAAGGAACAAAAACTCCCAGCTGGGCAGCAAGACCCTTCACAACGTGACGCCCACCAGCCGCTCCAGTCTTTCCCATCACACTGCCACAGTGATGGGGCCTCCCAATCAAGCCTGGGTGTGCACAGTGCATGCCCTGGCCTTGTCCATGTCCGTGCTGCTTCTCACGTGCTCCCTCTGCTTGCAAGGCCATGGCTGCAGCTTCACCTGCTGAACGTTACCCCTTCTCCACGGAGTCTTCCCTGCCGTCTCCCACCCCCAGCCAGCAGTCACCTCTCTCCCCCTGTGCTTCCTGAAGACCTGATTTCTCCTCCTGCACACTTATTGCAAGCTGCCTCAGACCACAGGTGGCACCTAGATGTGATTCAAAACTGCACCTATCTGGCTGGAAAGCCCATGAGAGCATTTCAGGCATGGAAAGCCAAGACACTGTGGCAAAAAAATGTCCTACATTAAGGATCTCTGTGAGTGAGACCCCAGTGGAAAGAAGCGGTCATCAACAAAGGAGGTACCTTTCTCTGAACGGAGAAGAGAACTTCCACTTTGCTTATGGCCCTGTCTAAATACTGACGGGGTTTGTGGATTCAAAAGGCTTCCCCAGCTGTGGCAGCTCAAGAGCCTCGTGTGATCACTGATGTCATACCTAAGTGTTTGCTAATTCTTAAATCAATAACAGGAGTCACTGTGCACTTAGTCCCCATGTAGGACCTCTGTCCTCAAAGAGTTGTATTACAATTATGTCTAAGTGCTCACAAAAGATGTATCATTCTTGGGTGCTTCTTTAAAGTTAATTTTCTAAAAAAAAAAAAAAATGAAATTAACTAACTAACTGCAAGATGCACTTTTAACAGCCCTTGTCTCCACTGTTGAGGAACAGTTTTGTTGTTGTTTTTGTTTTTCTGTTTGTTTGTTTGTGCAAATTGTTGAACTCTTTACTTAGTTAAAAAAAAAAAAAAAAAAAACCTGCACCATGCCTCAGCTCCTGGGAGCGCCCTGGCACTTCCCCTTGCCTCCCTCCCCCATTCCTCAGATCCCTTTCTGCAGAGCGGGGATGTGGAGTCTCACATCCTGGCATCCGCAGCAGGTGGCTGACACATAGTAGGGGCCCAGTGAATGTTGGGTGAATTAAAGCAAATGACCGAATGAACCAGCGAGCCCCACTTTGTTCTTCGGCAAGTCTCGAAAAGCACCTGCGTTTGTACTTGACCTCCCAGGGCTGTAGGGAAGTGGGGGTCCCACAAGCTCTGCATTGCACCTGACAGATTCTACCTCCACCAACATCAAGGGCCTGGGCTGTCTAAAGCCCTTGGGCACAGGAAGACAGACAAAGTGAGATGGGCATGGAGGCTCAGTCCCCGGAGACATGGTGACTGCTCGGTGACGCCTCTGAAGCAGGTGGCGGCCCTCGTTACCGGGCCTGGCCCCGGCTCCCTTTAAAAGAGACCGTTCTTGCTCCTAGTCTGAGCTGCTTGCAGCTGCACACCCAGCACACTCGTTGGACATTACAATTCGAGGCACAGCAACAAACCAGCCCTCCCTGGCTTACATCAAACAAGGCTGTCCAGCCAGAGCAGAGTTTAATTTTCTCTTCATCTCCCTCACTCCTGACATTTCCCAGGGCCCGCTGGGCTCCAGCAGCAAGCACAGGAGCTCAGCAGAGCTGCCAGTCTCTGGGCGAGGTGCAAATGGATTGTCGCGACAAGGATGCGTTTCCTGGGGAACATACCGCATGAGCGTGCTGAACTGCTGAAGTCCCCTTGGGAGGAAGGACATTCACTCTGTCGCTCCTAACATTTCAGAAACTTGCCGTGGGGACCTTCCTCAGAGCCCGTGCACACTCCTTGGGGTCTTCTCCGTGGAGATGCAGTTTTGATCTGAGTGTAGTTTTAATTTCTAAAAGCAGCCAAGAGCTTTCGGATCCAAGCGTGGTGGTGAATAAAGTAGACAAAAGAGCTGGGAACCACCTCCATGGACAAGTCCACCTCCAGGCCACCTTCCAGCTAGGGCTGCTCATGGCTAGGGTATGGTTCTCACCCATGAGCTTTCTATTACTTTATTTTTTTAAAGATTTATTTATTTGAAAGTCAGAACTACAGAGACAGAGCAAGAAACAGAGATCTTCCATCCTCTGGTTCACTCTCCAGATGGCTCCTGGCTAGGGCTGAGCCAGCAGCTTCATCCAGGACTCCCACATGAGTGCAGGGGCCTAAACACTTGGGCCATCTTCCACTGCGTTCCCAGGCCATTAGTAGGGAGCTGGATTGGAAGTGGAGCAGCTGGGACGCAAACCAGCACCCGTATGAGAGGCCAGTGTCACAGGCGTTAGCTTTACCCTCTACACCACAATGCTAGCCCCCATAGTTTTTTTTTTTTTTTAAGGTGCTTTTATTTGTTTGAAAGTCAGAGCTACAGAGAAAGGAGGGTTGGAAAGAGAAAGAGAGAGAGGTCCATGAGCTTTAAGTGCAGGTCTGCCAGTGGGAGTTGAGGGAAAGTGTTTGATTTCCTGTTGAAATCAGACAGATTTGGCTGGCGGATTTTTTCGCCCCTTACCTCTGCCCCTTCTTTCCTCCTAGAAAGTCCACGTCACACCTGGAGGTACAGGGTCATCTCACAACCCCCAGCCTGCAAGTGCAGGGTGAAGTCAAGTCAGGAAGCAGAACAGGAGCCCACTGCGAGTTGCACAAGCCTGGGCCGACTGCCTCCACAATTCCTGTCTTCCAACAAGTAACACACACACACACACACACACACCCTTTTTGTTTAAGCCACCATGGCTGGGATTTATGCTGCGTGCAACCAACGTTTTCCTAACTGATACAGTGAGAATGC